GCCAGGGATGGGGGTGCCAGGGATGGGGTCCCAAGGGAATGGGGATCCCAGGGAAATCATGGGGGTCCCAAGGATGGGGTTCTCAGGGGAATGGGGATCTTGGGGGTACAGACATCCCAGGGATGGGGGTCCTATGGAAATGGGGATCCCAGGGATGGGGTGCCTGTGAAAATGGGGTTCCCGTGGAAATGGGGTGCCCATGGGAATGGGGATCCCAGGAATAGGGTGCTCATGGAAATGGGGTGCCCATGGGAATAGGGATCCCATAGGACTGGAAATCCCAGAGATGGGTTTCTCATGGAAATGGGGATCCTAGAAATGGGGCTCCCATGGGAATGGGGTGCCCATGAGAATGGGGCTCCTGTGGGAATGGGGTGCCCGTGGGAATGGGGGGCCCATGGGAATGGGGTTCCCGTGGGAATGGGGGGCCCATGGGAATGGGGTGCCCGTGGGAATGGGGGGCCCATGGGAATGGGGTTCCCGTGGGAATGGGGGGCCCATGGGAATGGGGTGCCCGTGGGAATGGGGGGCCCATGGGAATGGGGTTTCCAGGGATGGGGGTGTCCATGGAAATAGGGTTTACAGGGATGGGGTTCTCAGGAATGGGGTTCCCATGGAAATGGGGTGCCCATGGATGGGGTTCCCAGCAATGGGGTTCCCATGGGAATGAGGATCCCAGGGATGGGGTTCCCATGGAAACGGGGTGCCCAGGAAGGGCAGCACCCCGGCCCCTCACCTGGTGCACGCCCCCGGGCCGCACGTAGGCCGCGTGCATCCGCGCCCCCGACACGCGCTCGTAGAACTCGAACATCTGGGGGGACACAGAGGGGACCCCGCTGCTGCTCAGCACCCTCGGCACCCCCACAGCCCCAAATCCCACCCCCCGAACCCCAAATCCCCCCAAATCCACCTTCTCCCTCTCCTCGAACATCCAGAAGAACGGGGTCATGGCCCCGATGTCCAGCGCGTGCGTGGTCACCGCCATGATGTGGTTCAGCAGCCGCGTGATCTCGGCGAAGAGAACTGAAAAAACGGGGGGAAAAGGGGATAAAAAGGGGGGTGATCCCCTAAATCCTGGGGGTGCCAGGGAGCTGGGAATGCTGGGGGGAGCCTCACCTCGGATCCACTGAGCCCGGGGAGGGGGGCGGATGTTGAGGAGCTTCTCCACGGCCAGCGAGTAGGCCTGCTCGTTGCACATCATGGACACGTAGTCCAGGCGGTCAAAGTAGGGCAGGGCCTGCGGGGACCGCGAGGAGACTGGGCATACTGGGAGCACTGGGAGAGCTGGGAGGGCTGGGAGCACTGGGCATACTGGGGATACTGGGAATAGTGGGGATACTGGGAGGGCTGGGAGGGCTGGGAGCACTGGGGATACTGGGAGCACTGGGAGGGCTGGGAACACTGGGGATACTGGGAGCACTGGGAGAGCTGGGAGGGCTGGGGAGCACTGGGGATACTGGGGATACTGGGAATAGTGGGGATACTGGGAGGGCTGGGAGCAGTGGGCATACTGGGAGCACTGGGAGCACTGGGGATACTGGGAGCACTGGGAGGGCTGGGAATAGTGGGGATACTGGGAGCACTGGGAGCACTGGGAGGGCTGGGAGCACTGGGGATACTGGGAGCACTGGGAGGGCTGGGAACACTGGGGATACTGGGAATAGTGGGGATACTGGGAATAGTGGGGATACTGGGAGCACTGGGAGAGCTGGGAGGGCTGGGAGCACTGGGCATACTGGGGATACTGGGAATAGTGGGGATACTGGGAAGACTGGGAGCACTGGGCATACTGGGAGCACTGGGAGCACTGGGGATACTGGGAGCACTGGGAGGGCTGGGAATAGTGGGGATACTGGGGATACTGGGAGCACTGGGAGGGCTGGGAGCACTGGGGATACTGGGAGCACTGGGAGGGCTGGGAACACTGGGGATACTGGGAATAGTGGGGATACTGGGAGCACTGGGAGAGCTGGGAGGGCTGGGAGCACTGGGGATACTGGGAGCACTGGGGGGGCTGGGGATACTGGGAATATTGAGAGGGCTGGGAAAGCTGGGAATACTGGGAGTGTTGCGAGTATTGGGAGCGCTAGAAATACTGTGAGTACTGGGAATACTGGCAGTACTGGGAACAGTGGAGTACTGGGGATACTAGGAAGACTGGCAGTACTGGGAATACTGGGAGTGCTGAGAGAACTTGAGTACTGGGACTGCTGGGAGGACTGGGAGTGTTCAGAGTACTGGGAATACTGGCAGGATTTGAGTACTGGGAGTGCTGAGAGTGCTGGGAGGACTGAGAGTACTGGCAGCGCTGTGAGGACTGGGAATATTGGGAATAATGGGAATACCGGGAATAGTCACAATAGGGGAGGTACTGGGAGCACTGGGAATACTGGGAGTACTGGGATCTCAGGGAATTGGGAATCTCAGGATCACAGGCAGGTAGGTTTTGTACTCAATGAGTTCCTCAGTGCTGTGGTGCAGCAGCCCCACATGGGGATCCATGGCAATGGGATTTCGGGGATCTCAGGGATGGAGATCCCATGGAATTGGGGATCCCATGCGTCTCAGGATCACCTACAGGTATGTCTTGTATTCAATGAGTTTCTTGGTGCTATGGTGTGGGGGGCAATGGGGATCCCATGGGAACGGAGGTTTCAGGGATGGGGATCTCAGGGATCTCGGGGAATTTGGGATCTCAGGGATCCCAGGATCACCTGCAGGTAGGTCTTGTACCCGATGAGTTTCTTGGTGCCACCATGCAGCAGCCCAACATGGGGGTGACAGGGCAATGGGATCCCAGGAAAATGGGGGCTTCAGGGATGGGAATTTCAGGGATCCCATGGAATTTGGGACCCCAGGATCACCTGCAGGTAGGTCTTGTACTCGATGAGCTTCTCGGCGCCGCAGTGCATCAGCCCCACATGGGGATCCCATGGGAAAGGGGGTTTCAGGGCAATGGGATCTCAGGGAAATGGGGGTTTCAGGCATGGGAATCTCAGGGAATTTAGGATCTCAGAGATCCCACGGCTCTCAGGCTCACCTGCAGGTATGTCTTGTACTCGATGAGCTTCTCGGTGCCGCGGTGCAGCAGCCCCACGTGCGGGTCGCACCGTTTCACCGTCTCCCCGCTCAGCTCCAGCACCAGCCTCAGCACCCCGTGCGCCGCCGGGTGCTGCGGCCCGAAGTTGATGGTCAGGCTGGAAACCTTCTTGTGGGCCACCGGGTCCTTGTCTGGGGACAGGGGACAGTGCCGGGGTCAGGGACATGGGAGCGGACACAGAGAGGGGTCAGGGACACAGGGAGAGCCCCCTCAGGGAGGGCACAAAACCCCTCAAATGTTGGGGACAAGGAGGGAGCAGCACCCGCTGAGGGTTTGTGGGGATCCTGAGTGACCCCCAAACCACCCCAAGGCCCCCAAAGCCCTCCTTAAACCCCACTCAGGATCTCAGGACCCCTCCAGGACCATCCCCAAAGCTTCTGAAACCCCTCCTGGACCTCCCAAACCGCCTCAGAGCACCCCTAGAACCCCCCAAAGGCCCTGAGACCCCTCCTGAACCGCTCAAAACGCCTCAGAGCACCCCCTAAAGGTCTTGGGACCCTTCCTGGGCTCCCCAAAGCTCTCTGAGCCCCCCTAGAACCCCCCAAAGCCCCTGACACCCCTCGTGGGCCGCCCAAACCGCCTCCAAACCGCCTCAGAGCACCCCTAGAGCCCCCCTAGAGGCCTCGGGACCCCTCCTGTGCCCCCCTAAAGCCCTCAGAGCACCCCCAAAGTACCCGACAGCCCCCAAAAGCCTCGTCCTCCCTGCTCAGGGCCCCCCAGAGCCCTCAGGGCCCTCCCAGAGCCCCCTCCCCACCTTGTCCCAGAGTGTCCCCGCTGTCCCCTCACCGTTCCAGGGTGGCGGCACCCACTTCTCGGTGGCCTTGCTGGGGTACATGATGGCCCCCGCGTACTGCTGCGCCCACTCGATGTCGGGCTGCCATTGGCGGCACCTGCGGGGCCGGGCGGTGAGCGGGAACAGCCCCAGAGCCTCCCCATAACCCTCCCCGCTTTGTCCCCGTGTCCCCCGCGGGCTCACCGGGCCGGGGCCGGGCCCAGCCGAGCCCCCGCCGCGCTCAGCCCCGAGGGGCCGCGGAGCCGCCACAGCGCCCGCAGCGCCGCCATCGTGCCCTTGGCAATGCGCATGCGCGGGGGCAGCCATGGCAGGGAAGGGCAGACGCTGTGGGCGCCGCCATGTTGGATACGGAGAGATGCCCGGCAATCATCATGAGTGATCTGCGCATGCGCAATGTGCCATGATGCTGGCGGGAAGCGTGCTGCCATGTTGGGTACGGGCATATCCCCTGCAACCATCCTGTGTACACTGCTCATGCGCAACACGATGTTGTGAGGCGGGCAGTGCCGCCATGTTGGTGTGGGCATCGTGACCTTGGCGCTGCGCAAGGGCGGAGAGCGCTGTGGATGGGAAGCACAGACGCAATGAGCGGCTCTGTGTTGGGCGTGGGCAGATGTGACGCCATTGTGTGCTTAGAGCGGGAACGCCGTGGATGGGAAGGGCAAGGGCAGCTGTGAGCGCCGCCATGACGCGTGTGGGCAGACGCGCAGCGCATGCGCACAAACGCGAGGAGTGGGGGGGGGGGAAGTCACACACGTGGCGCGGACACGCCTCTCCAATCCCCCGTCCAATCACAGCGCGTCGTTGTCGTGACGTCACCAAAGAAATTGAAAAATTCTAATAAGGGGCGGGGAAAAGAGCGGTTGCCACGGCGACGGCGCCCAGTCTGACCGCGCCCCCTCAGGGCGTGACTGACACAGGCCGCGCCCTCCCCGGGCACTCCCGGGTCTCTGCGGGCCCCGCGCTCCGTTCCGGGGTCACCGAGCGCCACCGGAGCCCCCTCGGGACCCTCCCCGGTTCTCCCCGACCGCCCCCTCCCCGCTGTGCCCTCTCCGCCCGCCCGGAGCGTGACCTCGCTGCAGCCCCGCCCTGTGACGTCATCACGCCGCGCCCTCCGCTCCAAGATGGCGGCGGCCGGGCGGGGCTGAGCGGGCCCGGGCCGGTACCGGGACCGGAGCGGTACCGGGGGCAGGGGGGTGACCCGCGAGGGCTGCCCGGGGGGTGGGAGCGCGGAACCGGGCCCGGAAGTACCGGAGCGGGTACCGGAACCGGGGGGGGGCCGAACCGGGACCGGGGCTGGAACGGGTACCGGGGCCGGGCGGTACCGGTACCGGGACCAAGAGCAGCGGGGTGGCACCGGGATCAGGCCGTACCGGGACCGGCGGTACTCGGTGGGGCAGGCAGCACCGGGACCAGATTGGGCTGAGCCGGAATCGGTACCAGGGCCAGGCAGGGACTGAACCGGGTCCTTCCCGGTACCGGAGATCGGCACTGCGTGGCCCGATTCCCTCCCGGTGCTACACGGGCGCTGCGCCGAACCCACCCATTTCCCTTTCCCAACGAGCACCGAGCAACCCCCGCTCCTTTCCCGCTACCGGAGCGGCCCCGTTCCATCTCCCGGAGCCTCTCCAATCCGTGTCCCTTCTATCCCACAGCCCCGGTGCTCCCGCCATGCTGCCCCGGGCCGCTTGGGCGGCTCTCCGGTAACACCGGGCGGCTCTCCGGTAACACCGGGAAGCTCTCCGGTAACACCGGGCGGCTCCCGGTAACACCGGGCGGCCCCGCGATGCTGCGGCGGCTGCTGGAGCGGCCGTGCTCGCTGGCGCTGCTGGTCGGGTGCCAGTTCGCTTTCGTGGCGTATTTCTCGCTCGGTGGGTTCCGCAACCTCACGGCGCTGTTCGGTCGCTCCGCCGGTCCCGTCGTGGATTATTCGCGGACCCACGACGTGTACGCCAACCTGAGCCGCGTCGGTGGCGGCACCGGGAATGGCCCCGCGGCGACGCCGGATCCTGCAAGGCCGCTGCCGTTCTGCCCCGAGAGATCGCCGTTCCTCGGTGAGAACGGGGAGGGGAACGGGAGGGGAACCGGGGAGGGAACGGAGACTCCCGACGGGAAACCGGGAGGAGAACGGGAGCACCGGGATGGGAACGGAGACCCCTGAGGGGGAGCTGGGACGGGAACGGGGGAACCGGAGAGGGAAAACGGGATGGGAACGGCGGGACCGAGAGGGGAACGGGAGCACCGGGGAGGGAACCGGGAGCACCGAGGGGAACGAGGGGGAAGGGGACAGGAACGGGAGCGCCGGACAGGAACGGAGACCCCCTGAAGGGGAACCGGGAGGAAACGGAGACTCCCGGGGAAAGGAAACGGGAGGAAAACGGGAGCACCGAGGGGCACGAGGGAACCGGGAGGGGAACGGGAGCACCGGGATGGGAACCGGGAGGAACCGGAGGGGGAAAGAACCGGGGACCCCCGGGGCGGGGGAAGGACCGAGGAGAGACCCCCTCCCCATGGGAGGAGGAACCGGGGCTGCTCCTTCCCCGGTACGGAACCGGTTTTAGCCCATCCCTCGGTAAATAACCGGTTCCATCCCCTCTCCCGGTACAGAACCCGTTCCCGCCGCTCCCGGGCAGGACCCGAGCCTGTCCCGGGCGGTAGAACCGGTCGGACCAGTTCCCTTCCCCAACCTGTCCTGTCCCGGGAAGGAGCCGCCCCCTCCCGGCACAGAACCGGGACAGAACCGGGCCGGGAAGGGAAATGTGGGGGGGGCTGGTCCGGTTTGGGGTGGGGGCAAAACCCGGGACCCCCGGGAGGGGAACAAACCCAGCCCGGTTTGGGATTTGGGGACACAAACCCAGCCCGGTTTGGGATGTGGGGACACAAACCCAGCCCGGTTTGGGATGTGGGGACACAAACCCAGCCCGGTTTGGGATTTGGGGACACAAACCCAGCCCGGTTTGGGATGTGGGGACACAAACCCAGCCTGGTTTGGGATTTGGGGACACAAACCCAGCCCAGTTTGGGACCCTGAGGGGACACCCCCAGTGCCCCTCGCAGTGTCCCCTCAGTGCCCTCAGCTCCTCGCAAAGCCCCTCTCAGTGCCCCCCTGAGTGCCCCCTCCCCACAGTGGGTCCCCAGTGCCCCTCTCAGTGCCCCCAGTACCCTCTCTCATGCCCCCTCCCCACAGCGGCCCCCTGGCTGTCCCAGTGCCCCCCAATGCCCCTCTCCATGCCCCCAATGCCCCTCAATGCCCCTCTCATTGCCCCCTGCTCCTCTCAGTGCCCCCCAATCCCCCTCTCAGCCCCCCAAATGCCCCTCAATGCCCCCTCCCCACAGTGGCCCCCCAATGCCCCTCTCCATGCCCCCAGTCCTCCTCTCAGCCCCCCAATGCCCCCCTCACTGCCCCCTTCCCACAGTGGGCCCCCCGGCCATCCCAATCCCCCTCTCAGTGCCCCCCAATGCCCCCCTGTCTCACTGCCCCCTCCCCACAGTGGGCCCCCAATGCCCCTCTCTATGGCCCCAGTGCCCCTCTCAATGCCCCCCAATGCCCCCTCTCTCACTGCCCCCTGCCCACACTGGGCCCCCTGCCCCTCTCAATGCCCCCCAATGCCCCTTCTCTCACTGCCCCCTGCCCACAGTGGGCCCCCTGGCCGTGTCCTTCTCGCGGGCGCCGTCGCTGGAGCAGATCCGGGCCAAGAACCCGGGGGTGCGGCGGGGGGGGCGCTACCGGCCCCCCCAGTGCGAGTCCCGCTCCAGGACCGCCGTCATCGTCCCCCACCGCAACCGGGAGAGCCACCTGGGCCACCTGCTCTACTACCTGCACCCCTTCCTGCAGCGCCAGCAGCTGCACTACGGCATCTACGTCGTGCACCAGGTGCCAGGGGGGTGCCAGGCGGTCCCCGGGGGGGTTTGGGGCATCCCCAGGGGGATTTGAGGTGGTTTGAGGGGTCCCCGGGGGGGTTTGGGGGTGCCCAGAGGGGTTTGGGGGGGTCCTCAGGGTGGTTTGAGGGGTCCCCGGGGGGGGGTTTGGGGAGTCCTCACAGTGGTTTGAGTCAGTTTGGGGGGGTCCCCAGAGAGGTTTGAGGGGTCCCCAGTGTGGTTTAGGGGGTGCTCAGGGTGATTTGAGGTGGTTTGACGGGTCCCCAGGGGGGTTTAGGGGGTGCCCAGGGGGGTTTGGGGCATCCCCAGGGGGATTTGAGGTGGTTTGAGGGGTCCTTGGGGGGGTTTGGCGGTGCCCAGGGGGGTTTGGGGGGGGTCCTCAGGGTGGTTTGAGGTGGTTCAGGGAGTCCCCGGGGTGGCCTTGAAGGGGTTTGTGGGGTCCCCAGGGGGGTTTGGGGTGGTTCAGGGGGTTCTCAGTGTGGTTTCGGGGCTCCTCAGGGGGGTTTGGGGTGGTTTGAGGGGTCTCCAGGGGGGCCTTGAGGTGGTTTGAGGGGTCCCAAGGGTGGTTTGATGTGGTTTGGGGGATCTCCAGGGGGGTTTGAGGGGGTGCCCAGGGGGATTTGAATTGGTTTAGGGGCTCTCCAGGGGGGTTTGAGAGGTCCTCAGGGGAGTTTGAGGCATCTCTAGGGGGTTTGGGGTGTGCCCAGGACATTTTGGGGTGTCCCCAGGATATTTTGGGGGTATCCCCAGGACATTTTGGGGTGTCCCCAGGACATTTTGGGGTGTCCCTAGGCCGGGAACTGCACGTTTAACTGGGCCAAGCTGCTGAACGTGAAGGGCTGGTTTAGAGATTCCCAGGATGGTTTAGACATTTCCCAGGCTATTTTGGGGTGACCCCCGTGGATTTTGGGGTATCCCCAGGCCAGGAACTGCACGTTTAACCGGGCCAAGCTGCTGAACGTGGGGGTGAAGAGATGGTTCAGTGGGGATGGTTTGGGGTGTTCCCAGGAGGATTTGGGGTATCCCCAGGACATTTTGGGGTAACCCCAGAACATTTTGGGGTGACCCCAGAACATTTTGGGGTGTCCCCAGGTCGGGAACTGCACATTTAACCGGGCCAAGCTGCTGAACATGTGGGCGAAGAGATGGTTTAGACTTTTAGGGATGGTTTAGAGGAGGTGGTTTAGAGGTTTCCCAGGATATTTTGGGGTGACCCCCGTGGATTTTGGGGTGTCCCCAGGCCGGGAACTGCACGTTTAACCGGGCCAAGCTGCTGAACGTGGGCGTGAAGGAGGCGCTGAAGGACGAGGACTGGGACTGCCTGTTCCTGCACGACGTGGACCTGATCCCCGAGAACGACCACAACCTGTACACGTGCGACCCCTGGAACCCCAAACACGCCTCCGTGGCCATGAACAAATTCGGGTACAGGTGAGGGACACCCTGGGGACATGCTGGGGACACCCTGGGGCACCTTGGGGACACCCTGGGGACACCCTGGGGCACCTTGAGGCACCCTAGGGACACCTTGGGGGCACCTTGGGGGCACCTTGGGGACACCCTGGGACACCTTGGGGACACCCTGGGGCACCTTGGGGACACCTTGGGAACACCTTGGGCACGCCCTGGGGACATCTTGGGGCACCTTGGGGACACCCTGAGGGTGCCCTGGGGACACGCTGGGGACGCCCTGGGGACGCCCTGGGGCACCCTGGGGACACCTTGGGGACACCCTGGGGACACCCTGGGGCACCTTGGGGATGCCCTGGGGACACCCTGAGACACCTTGGGGGCACCCTGGGGCACGTTGGGGACACCCGGGGACGCCCTGGGGACACCCTGGGGATGCAGAGGGTGTGGCATTGCCCTGGAGGGGACATGAAGGCTGTTCTGTCACCTTAGGGGGGGGCAAAAGGGGCAAAAGGGGTGTGGCATTGCCATGGGAGGTGTGACAGTGCCCTGGGGGGGAAACAAGGGGTCTCCTGTCACCCTCGGGGGGACACAGAGGGTGTGACATTGCCCTGGAGGGGACATGGGGGGTGTTCTGTCACCTTGCAGGGGGACACAAGGGGTGTGGCATTGCCATGGGAGGTGTGACATTGCTCTGGGGGGGGACATGAGGGGTGTGACATCCCTTTGGCGGGGACACAGAGTGTGGCATTGTCCTGTAGGGGACATGAGGGGTGTTCTGTCAGCTTGGGGGGGGACACAAGGGATGTGGCATTGCCCTGGAGGGGACATGAGGGGTGTGACATCCCTTTGGGAGGGATATGGGGGATGTGACATCACTTTGCGGGGGGACACAGAGAGTGTGACAATGCCATGGGGGGTGTGACATCACTTTGGGGGTGTCACAGAGGGTGTGACAGTGTCCCCTGTGTCCCCAGCCTGCCGTACCCGCAGTATTTCGGGGGGGTCTCGGCGCTGACCCCAGACCAGTACATGAAGATCAACGGGTTCCCCAACGAGTACTGGGGCTGGGGGGGCGAGGACGATGACATCGCCACCAGGTAGGGCTGGGGACAGCCTGGGGACAGCCTGGGGACACTGCCATGGCACGGGCGTGTGGCACTTGGGGGGTGGCATCGTGTGCCCACCGAGCTGGGGGGACACGGGGGGGTGTTCTGTCACCTTGGCGGGGACACAAGGGGTGTGGCAGTGCCACGTGGGGTGGTGACATTGCTCTGGGAGGGGACACAAGGGGTGTGGCATGGCCGTGGGGGCTGTGACATTGCCCTGGGGGGGACATTGGGGATGTGACATTGCCCTGGGAGGGGACACAAGGGGTGTGGCATGGCCGTGGGGGCTGTGACATTGCCCTGGGGGGGACATGGATGGTATCCTGTCACATTGAGGGGAACATGGCACGTGTGACATTGTCTTGCGTGGGACATTGGGGATGTGACATTGCCCTGGAGGGGACTCAGAGGGTGTGACATTACCCTGGAGGTGTCCCCACGCCCTGTCCCCTCAGGGTGACATGGTGATGGTGTCATTGTGTGGCGGCTGTCACTGCCACCCTGGAGCTGTGCTACCACCCTGAGGGCCACCTCGGCGGTGTCCCTGTCCCCTCAGGGTGACACCGTGACCCTCCTTTCTCACTGTCCCCATATTTGTGTCCCCACCGCTGGGGACACGGGGGCTGTCCCAGCGCTGTGGCCCCACCCCGGGGCTGTCGCTGTCGCTGTCCCCGCCCCGGTGCCATTGTCGCCGCTGTCCCCTAGGGTGCGCCTGGCCGGGATGAAGATCTCCCGCCCTCCCGTCTCCATCGGCCACTACAAAATGGTGAAACACAAGAGCGACAAAGGCAACGAGGAGAACCCGCACAGGTGCGGGGGACACGGGGACACAGGGGACATCAGTGCCATCTGGGCTGTGTCCCCAGGTTTGACCTGCAGGTGCAGGGGGCTACCAGGGGATAGAGGGGACATGGGTGACAATGTTGGGTGTGTCCCCAGGTTCCACCTGCAGGTGCAGGGTGACTCAGAGAGGACAGAGGGGACACAGGGCACACAGGTGCCATCTCGGGCGTGTCCCCAGGTTTCACCTGCTGGTGCGGGTGCAGGGGGCTCTGGGAGGGGACACAGGTGACATCAGTGCCATCTGGGCTGTGTCCCCAGGTTTGACCTGCTGGTGCAGGGGGCTACGAGGGGACAGAGGGGACACGGGTGACAATGTCAGGCGTGTCCCCAGGTTCCACCTGCTGGTGCAGGTGACTCCGGGGTGGCCGTGAGGGGACAGAGGGAACACAGGTGCCATCTCTGGCGTGTCCCCAGGTTTCACCTGCTGGTGCAGGTGTGAGGGTGGCTTCAAGGGGACACAGGTGACATCAGTGCCATCTGGGCTGTGTCCCCAGGTTTCACCTGCTGGTGCAGGTGTAGGGTGACCCCAAGGGAACACAGGTGACATCAGTGCCATCTCTGGCATGTCCCCAGGTTCGACCTGCTGGTGCAGGTGTGAGGGTGGCTCCAAGGGGACACTGATGACAATGTCGGGTGTGTCCCCAGGTTCGACCTGCTGGTGCAGGCGTAGGGTGACCCCAAGGGGACACAGGTGACATCAGTGCCATCTCTGGCGCGTCCCCAGGTTCGACCTGCTGGTGCGCACGCAGCGCACGTGGACGCAGGACGGGATGAACTCGCTCAGTTACGCGCTGCTGGCGCGGGAGCTGCTCCCGCTCTACACCAACCTCACGGCCGACATCGGCTGCGACCCCCGCGCCCGCGCCCGCCCCGGTGCCGCCGCCGGTGCCGCCGCCGCCAGCCGCTTCCGGCAGGAGATGCTGCGCAAAGCGCCCCGCGAGGACCTGCCCGCGCTGCTGCCGCTGCCGCTGTCGCTGTCACCGCCCCGCCGAGAGGGGACAGTGACGGTGACAGCGACAGCGAGGGGGGGCAATCAGAGCGTGGCATCAGCCCTGCCTTGAGACCCCCCCCCCCTCGAATGGACACCACGGGGGATGTGTGGACTCTGGGATGGGGGGACAGGGACACCCCAATGGGGACAGGGACACCCTCGGGGGGGAGGGACACAGGGGTCTCCCAGCCCTGCCCCCCATCCCCCTGGTGGGGCTTTGGGGTCCCTGGATCGGTTTTGAGGTCCCCAGATCGGTTTTGGGGTCCCTGGATTGGTTTTAGAGTCCCCGGATCAGTTTTTGGGTCCTCAGTGGGGTTTTGAGGTCCCTAGATTGGTTTTTGGGGTCCCTGGTGAGGTTTTGGGGTCCCTGGTGAGGTTTTGGGGTCCCTGGCTGGGTTTTGGGGTCCCCAGATCGGTTTTGGGGTCCCTGGCTAGGTTTTGGGGTCCTCTGTGGGGTTTTGAGCTCCCCAGATTGGTTTTGGGTCCCCCAGATCGGTTTTGGGGTCCCTGGCTGGGTTTTGGGATCCCTGGATCAATTTTGGAGTCCCTGGTGAGGTTTTGGGGTCCCCGGATCGGTTTTGGGGTCCCTGGCTGCGTTTATGGTGTCCCCAGATCAGTTTTGGGGTCCCAGGCCGGGTTTTGGGGTCCCCGGCCGGGGCACGCGGGTATTTATTGTATTTATGAGCCGCTCCTTGGACCTTTCTAAAGGGTTTTTTTCAATTAAAAAAAAAAATCATTTTGTCCTACACTGGCGGCCGTGGGGGGACCCCAGGAATGCGGGGGGGGGGGTCAGGGGGTCAGGGTTCGGGGGGGGACCCCAAAATCCTCCCCACGGCCGCCCTGGCGCTGGCGATGCAGTCGTTGACGGAGACCCCGGAGTAGGAGGCGCCGACGAGGCTCAGGGGCAGCTGCTGCTCCTTGAGGAACCGCTGGATGCGCTCTGGGGGACAGCGGGGACAGTGGGGACACCCTGGGGACACCCTGGGGACACCCTGGGGACAGTGGGGACACCCCCAGCCCTGCCACTCTCACCTAAGCGCTCCCAGTGTCCCAGCGTGTACTGGGGGATGCAGTCCTGGGGAAAGAGGGGGGACACGGGTGAGACCCTGAGAGACACCCCGGAGTGTCACCCACACAGAGACACCCCCAAAATGTCACCTCCCCAAAGTGCCATCCACCCAAAGCTCCCCCAAAATGTCACCCACCCAGAATTCCCCCTAAAATGTCACTCAGAGTGTCACCCCCACAAAGTGTCACCCACCCAGAGCCACCCTCAAATGTCACCTCTCCAAAGTGTCACCTACCCAGAGCCACCCTTGAAATGTCACCCACCCTGAACCCCCCCAAGTGTCATCCACACAGAGCCCCCCCGAAGTGTCACCTGCCCAGAGTGCCCCTGGAGTGTCACCCCTCTCAAGTGTCACTCAGATTCCCCCCAGAACGTCACCCACCAAAGCATAACCCACCCAGAGCCACCCCCAAAATGTCACCCCCCCCAGAATGTTCCCCACCCAAAGTGTCACCCACTCACAGCCCCCCCAAAAATGTCACCCACCTGGAGTGTCACCCCAACCAAGTGTCACCCACCCAGAACCTCCCTCAAAATGTCACTCACCCAGAGCCACAGAGCCACCCCCGCCCAGAATGTCCCCCACCAAAAGTGCCACCCTCCCCGAAGTGCCACCCCCCGGTGTCCCCACCTGCTGCACGCTGACGATGGCGTTCCTGGGGGTCCCGGCCAGCCCCAGGTGGTCGCTCACGGCCGCCCGTGCCCGGCTCAGCAGCAGCTCCGGGGCCACCAGGGCGGGGTCCCCAAAGCTCTGCTGGAACCAGGCCCCGCCCAGCATCACCTGGGGACACCCCGACATCAGCCCTGGGACACCCACAGGGTCCCCAGGGCCACCCCCTCCCAGTGTCACCCACCGTCAGCCCCCCAAAATCAGCCTTGGGACACGCACGGTGTCCCCATGGTCACCCCATCCCAGTGTCCCCGGTGCCACCCACCATCAGCCCTCCAAAATCAGCCCTGGGACACCCACGGTGTCCCCATGGCCACCTCCTCCCAGTGTCACCCACTGTGAGCCCCCCAAAATCAGCCCTGGGACATCCACAGTGTGCCCAGTGCCACCCCCCTGGTGGTCCCCAATGTCACCCCTCCCAGATGTCCCCACATGATGTCCCCAGTGTCCCCACCGTGAGCAGCAGCAAGGGGGTCCCAGCATCACCTGGGGGACGCCATCAGCCCCCCAAAACCACCCCTGTCACCCCCTCCAGTGTCCTCTTTGTCACTCTCCTGTGTCCCCAGTGTCCTCCCACAATATCCCCGCAAATAAATCCTGTCACTCCCCCTGGTGTCCCCAGTGTCACCCCCTGGTGTCCCCACCATAAGCCCCCCAAAACCACCCATCACTCCCTCAGTGTCCCCAGTGTCACCCCCTCGTGTCTCCCCTGGTGTCCTCGGTGTCCTCACCGTGAGCCCCCCCAAATCACTCCTGTCACCCTGCATGTTGTCCCCATTGTCCCCCTCAGTGTCCCCAGTGTCCCCCCATGGTGTCCCCACCGTGAGCCACAGCGAGGGGGTCCCAGCATCACCCGGGGGACACTGCCAGCCCCCCAAAAAAACCACCCCTGTCACCCCCACAGTGTCCCTGGTGTCACCCTCCCGCGTGTCCCTATATGATGTCCCCAGTGTCCCCCCACGATGTCCCCACCATGAGCCCCCCAGACGACCCCTATCACCCCCCTCAGTGTCCACAGTGCCACCCCACCGGTGTCCCCTGTGTCCCTCCCCCGTGTCCTCACTGTGAGCCCCCCAAATCACTCCTGTCACCCTGCATGTTGTCCCCATTGTCCCCCCGGTGTCCCCACCGTGAGGCGCAGCGAGGCCCTCCCAGTGTCCCCAGTGTCACTCCCTCTGGTGTCCCCAGTGTCCCCTCCCCGGTGTCCCCACCGTGAGGCGCAGCGAGGCCCTCCCAGTGTCACTCCCTCAGTGTCCCCTGTGTCCCCTCCCCGGTGTCCCCACCGTGAGGCGCAGCGAGGCCGCCCCGGGGGTCGCGGGGGTCCCGTCGTGCTCCGGGAACGCCACCGAGTCGTAGACGATGCCCAGGAGCGCCGGGTCCTCCGAGGATGGCACCAGGTGCCCAAAGCCCTGCGGGGACGGGGACGGGCTGGGGTCACCGCGGGGCTCGGGGACAGCGCGGGGACAGCGCGGGGACAGCGGGCAGCGCTCACCGTGACGGGCAGCGCGGCGCCCTCGTACTGCAGGTTCACCACGGCCACGGAGGCGGCCGGGATGGCCCCGAGCTCCCGAGCCAGCGGCTCCGCCTCGGGCGGCAGCGCCCGCGCCAGCGCTGGGGACAGCGGGGACAGAGTCAGTGACACCGCGGGGGACAGCGGGGACAGCGGGGACAGAGTCAGTGACACCGCGGGGACAGCGGGGACAGCGTCAGTGACACCGCGGGGACAGCGGGGACAGCGGGGACAGTGTCAGCGACACCGCGGGGGACAGCGGGGACAGCGGGGACAGAGTCAGTGACACCGCGGGGACAGCGGGGACAGAGTCAGTGACACCGCGGGGACAGTGGGGACAGCGGGGACAGAGTCAGTGACACCGCGGGGGACAGCGGGGACAGCGGGGACAGAGTCAGTGACACCGCGGGGACAGCGGGGACAGCGGGGACAGCGTCAGCGACACCGCGGGGGACAGCGGGGACAGAGTCAGTGACACCGCGGGGACAGCGGGGACAGTGTCAGGGACACCATGGGGACAGCAGGGACAGTCAGTGACACCGCGGGGACAGTGTCAGTGACACCGGGGGGACAGCGTCAGTGACATCAGTGACACCGCGGGGACACCGAGGGGACACGGCAGGGACACCCACCCCCAGCCCTGTGTCTGTACCTGAGGCCGGGAGGGCGCTGATGACGTGATCGGCCGTGAGGGTGGCACCGGGCACGGTGAGCTGCGGGGACAGCAGGGGACACTGGGGACACTGGGGAGGGGACTGGGGACACTGGGGACAGTGGGGAGGGGATAGGGGACAGGACAGGAGGTACTGGGGGCACTGGGGAGTGGACTGGGGACACAGGGGACAGTGGGGACAATGGGGGCACTGGGGACAATGGGGACACTGGGGGCAATGAGGAAGCGACTGGGGACACTGGTGACAATGGGGACAGCAGCACTGGGGAGGGGACTGGGGACACTGGGGACAGGACTGGGGACACTGGGGGCACTGGGGACACGGGACAATGAAGAGGCGACTGGGGACACTGGGGACAGGACTGAGGAGGGGACTGGGGACATTGGGGACAGGACTGGGGACACTGGGGGCACTGGGGACAACGGGGACAGCACTGGGGAGCAATGGGGACAATAGGGAGAGGACTGGGGACACTGGGAACAGGACTTGGGACACTGAAGACGGGACTGGGGGCAATGGGGACAATGAGAAGGAGACTGGGGACACTGGGGACACACTGGGAACAGGACTGAGGACAGCACTGGGGACACTGGGAACAGGACTGGGGACACTCTAGAGGGGACCCGGGGGACACCGGGGAGGGGACAAAGCACGGTGGCAGGGGATGCAGAGCGGGGAGGGGACACAAGGGACACCGAGGAGGGGACAAAGCACGGTGGCAGTGGGATGCAGAGCAGGGAGGGGACACAGTGAAGGCAGCGGGTGGCGCGGGCGGTGTCCCCACCTGCCACTGGCCGCGGCGGTGGCACAGGTGTGTCAGGGGCGTGTGACAGCGCAGCTCGGCGCCGCGCGGGGACACGAAGGCCACCAGGGCCCGCGCCAGGGACTCCATCCCGCCCCGCAGCGACCACTGGCTCCAGCGCTCGGCCCGCGCCCGCCGCGCCAGCCCCGCCTCGGGGCCCGCCCCGCCGCCGCCACCTGCGGGGACACCGCGGTGACACCGCGCGGGAGGGGGACACGGCGTCCCCCGTGCCGGGGTGTGCCCCCGGTGTGCCCTGTCCCAGCCCCGGGGTGTCCCCCCCGTGTCCCGTGTCTCCTGTCCCAGCCCTCAGTGGATCCCGGTGACAGCCAAATCAGGGGTCCCCAC